AAGCAGGGGCTGGGAAGGTGGCTCAGTGGTAGAGCACTTGCCTTGCATGCATGAGGCCTGGGTTCAATTCCTCAGCACCACATAAGCAAAAAGAAAAAAAGCCAGAAGTGGCGCTGTGGCTCAAGTGGTAGAGTGCTAGCCTTGAGCTGAAGAGCTGAGGGACAGCGCAAGGCCCAGAGTTCAGGCCCCACGACCGGACCAAAAAAAAAAAAAAAAAAGAAATTGGAAGCAAATATGAGTTTACATTTTGGATTGACGACTGGCAAATAAATGGCATCAGTGAAAATACGAAGGGACCCATTTGAACAAAAGCCTACATAGGCCTGGCACTGGTGGCTCAAATCTTTAATCCTAGTTACTCAGGAAGCTGAGATCTGAGGATCAAGTTCAAAGTCAGGGTGGATAGGGAAATCTGTGATACACTCATCTCCAGCCAGCGAAAAGCAAGACAACAAATGATAAGTTCTCAGGCGCATAATTCTGCTGCTGCTACTGCCCAAAAGGTACACAGAGACCATAACAGCACACTGGATGCTGGTGGCTCACACATGTAAACCTAGCTACTCAGGAGGCTGAGATCTGAGGATCAAAGTTCAAAGCCAATCAAGATAGACAAATTCATAAGAGTCTCAACCCCTTGAGCCACATCTCCACTTCCAACCTTTCAGTGGTTAATTGGAGATGTGGCTCAAGGGGTTGAGAGCCAGCTCTGAGTAAAAGAGCTAAGGGACAGCAGCTCCCAGGCCCTAAATTCACATCTCAGTAGTGGCACAAAAGTAAATAAATCAATATCCACATTAGCAGAAAAAATTAAATCATGTGCTCATTTCAATATATTCAGGAAAAGCATTTCATAAAATGTAACATCCATTTATAACTGGAAGCAAAACTAAAGCAAAGAAGAAGAGATGATTTCTAAGTTAGTAAGACAAGCTCCAAAAATTCTCCCAACAAATCTCAATGTTCAACTGACAGTAGCCCAAGCCAGACTGTCACAGTCAAGTAAGTGTCCAGGGAAAGTAGCATGAGCTGGATCAGAAGTAGCATTGGTGAGTTTTGTATCAACACTAATCTCAAACAACTCAGCTGATCCACGCATTGACTAGTTTACTCATTCATTCATTCCTGCATTCATTCATTGTGCTGGTATTGGAGCTTGAACCCTGGGGCTCTTGCCTGGCTTTTTCTGCTCACAGCTGCTGTTCTACCACTTGAACTTTTCATTTTCTGAGCTAAACTTCATGTTGCACAGTTTTATTCACATACTGTACATAAAATTACAGATTCACTTGAGACTTTCTGAAAAATAAGAAACTCATATGATGACAGATGCATGCTAAGATCTACCAAAGGTTCTCTGTTCCTTGATAAAATTAATAATCTAGAGAAAGCTAATATTAGAGCCAGGGAGAAATAAAAACACACAATCATAAAGAAGAAATTAATGACTGTTTCAGGACTAATATCAAAATTGAGGAAAATCAGTTGGCTGCTGGTGGCTCAAGGCTGTCATCCTAGCTACTCAAGAGGCTGAAGTCATGGTTTTAAAAAAGTAGTGAGCCAGGAGCTGGTAGCTTATACCTGTAATCCTAGTTACTCAGAAGCCTGAGATCTGAGAATCGTGGTTCAAAGCCAGCCCAGGCAGGAAAGTTTGTGAGACTCTTATTTCCTATAAACTATTCAGAAAAATCGAGAAGAGGCACTGTGGCTCAAGGGGTAAGGCCTTGAGAAAAAGAATCTCAGAGATAGTGCCCAGGCCCAGAGTTCAAGTCCCAGGACTAGCAAAAAAAAAGGAGGGAACTCAAAGAGATGTCTCTAATCTCAGATTATGACCAAAATATTGAAAATAAATTCAATCTAGGTATTTCTTCAGATTTCCTATATTACTGGAAATTTTCCGCATTACATGATTATTGTGCCCAATTTAGCCATATACAAATTCAAATAAATTAAGGTAAAACTAAACTGCATAGGTATGAAAGTTAATGTTTTTGTGCTCATAACTAGTCTGAACAAAGGGCCTGACGCTGTCCCTTAACTTTGTTTTGCTTCAGTCTAGCAGTCTACCAACTTGAGCTACAGCTTTACTTACAGCTCTTGAGTGGTTAATTGGAGCTAAGAGTCGTACAGACTCTTCTGATTGGGCTGGCTTAGAACGGTGATTCTCAGATCTCAACCTCTTTAGTAGCTAGGATTACAGGCGTGAGCCATTGATGCCCAGTTGAAAATTAATTTTCAAATGTTAAAAGGTTCTAAAGATATCAATAAACCTATCATAAGCAAAGTACACAAAAAAAACAGATTGGTGGAACATGAATATAGAAGAGATGATTAGATAATTGTATCCAATGAAGCCACATTACATGCCGGAATCATCTTCAATGGTTTTCTACATCCAAAAATGTGATATGGGATAATAATTTCACCTATACCAATATTATGAATAAAAATGATTAGAAGTATCACTCCTAATAATAATATATCCCATCTGGAACCATTTTCCCTGCCATAAAATAGTAAATCAAAAAAATATGCTGACCAGTTTAAATTCACAGTAGTAAGTCTAAGTTTTCCAAACAAAGTAAATGTCACTTTAAAAGCTTTTAGAAATGAGATTTTTTTTCTTTTTCCGCTGAAGTGTATGTAGCTGTGAAAATACTAGAGGGTGCTTCTGGATACACTGGTGTCCCAACTATTTTACATTTCTCCGCAAAAAAGAAAGCTGTTTTCGGCATTTCAATGTAAAGACAACTCAATATGATGGATGAAGAAAACAGAGACTTTTTAAGCTAACACCTAAAATGACATCATAAATCAACCTAAAAGGAAGTATTACATTTTGTTTGTCTGGATAGACCCACTATCCATTTTGTTTTATCATATAATAATAAATAGTGATGATACTCTGTAAAATATCTTTGAACACCTTTCTAAAAGTCTGCTTTGTTTACTTATTTGCTTTTGCTAAGCAAAAACTAGAGTACCTGGGAATAAAAATAATTCCCATAATAAAATTTCTAGTTCTAGTCTCTTCTCAAATATAAATTTATCAGTTACTGATAAAGTGGAGCCCAAACTGTTTGTCTTTAACTTGGGGTGCCATGAAACTGAGTGGGAAAAGTTACACCTCGATTTACACTAATCTCTGGTTCTGAACATTCCCTTCAGTGGTCTTTGAAAAAGAAACCACAGACACTGTCACCTCTTTACTAATAAAATAATGATTACTGGCAACAAAATGATATTTATGGCCAATAAAATGATATTATGTCACACTGGAGTCTATATAACTACCTGGATTGCTTATTTGTTATACCACAATTGGACAGAAGTAGAGTGCATAAGTAGTCTATAAGTAGATCTGATCATCCAAAATACATAACTAAACAAATTTATATTACTATATCACAAACTGTCTTTGTAATATTTTAGTTATTGTTTCTAATTGGTTTCTTATTTAAATAGTTGGGCTGGGAAGGTGGCTCAGTGGTAGAGCGCTTGCCTTGCATGCCTGAGGCCCTGGGTTCAATTTCTCAGCACCACATAAGCAAAAAGAAAAAAAAAGCCGGAAGTGGCTCTGTGGCTCAGGTGGTAGAGCGCTAGCCTTGAGCTGAAGAGCTAAGGGACAGCGCCCAGGCCCAAAGTTCAGGCCCCATGACTGGACCCAAAAAATAAATAAATAAATAGTTATAAATATATACAAATATATTTAAATATATAACTGACATGCATTTAATGTATAAATATGATATATAATATGATATATAAAAAAGAACACCAAAAAGTCCTGTTCAATGTTCTGCTACCTAAAAAAATAATAATAATATGATATATAAAATAGTATGTACATTTTGTATAAGTTATACGTGTAATTTTTATATTGTTATTTATGCATTATCTATTGTACATCTATAAATGTATGTGTTATTTATAATTTTCTGCACATGTAAAGTTGTTGCACTAAGTGATTAGTGCAACTGGGATTAGACAGACTACTGAAGAAATTCATAGCAAGAAAAAGTAATAACAAGCCTCCATTTGTGTGTGTGCTGGTACTAGGGTTTAAACTCAGTACCTGGAGCTGTTCTTTAGCCTTTTTCATCAAGAACTATGCTCTACCACTTGAGCCACACCACCACTCCCAGCTTTTTTGCTGATTGACTGCAGGTAAGAATCTGCCTGGTCTGGCTTCAGCCCTCAAACTCAGCCTCCTGAGTAGCTATAGGGATTACAAGTGTGAGCCACTGGCACCCAGCTGTAAAACTCGCTTAGAGCAAGAGAAGCAAATACAGTTTGTTTCTGACCTGTTACTTCCTATCTTCTCCTCTCAGTGAAAAATCTGCAGCAGAAGCAGCATCTCCATCCTTCATCCAGGCTAATGATCATTTCTCATTTTCACTCACAGCCACCGGCAAAAGTCTTTGTAGTTATGTTCTACCTTTTCATTTATAGTAGATTGAACCTATTCTCTCTTCTGCTTATCAAACATTAGGGGTCATCCCCCAACTGCTAAAGAAGTTGACTTCCCAACCCTGCCAGGGTGAGCCTTCTGGTTTATTTGTATATTCACTATCTTGTCCTTTCTACCATCCTAAATGCCAGCGAATACACCCGTATTTAGTGCTACACCTGCTTCCACAGGTGACCTGCAGTAGTGCATCTGAGTGGGAAAAGCCTGGAAACTGGAAACATGTACATGGAGGGCCCCCCAAAACCACCCCAGCCCCAGCCCCCTCAAGCACCTGACACTTGTAGGAAAGATGCTCTCTGGGTTTGGCTCAAAGGGTGGACTCTGCCTACTCAGTAGACACACATGCCTTAGCAATGGAACTTTCCAGCCTCCTGCATGGAAGAAGCAGTCCTTCGCCTGTCCAATCCTTCGGGTGGACCACTCTTGAACTCCAGGTCAGCCACCACCCCGCTCTCTGAGCACAGCCCTCCCTGGGGGGGGGGTCCCCCCAGCAAGTGTCAAGGGGGTCCCCGCAGGCGGGCGGGCTTACCAGTCCTCCGCACAAGCTGAAGACAGCCCGGTGATCTTTCCGCGCGTTGACCTGGCCGCGGTAGAAGCAGTGCCGCAGGTCCGAGGTGGTCCGGGCTCGGTTCCCCCGGGCCCCGCGCGCGGGAGATCCCAGGTGCACCTCGCTGTAGCCGGCAGCCAGGAAGGTGGCGTCGGCGCTCAGGTTCAGCCGGAAGAGCTGCCCGTAGGCGCTGATGCGGTAATGGGTCCGGAAAGGCGTGGGCTCCCGACCCTCCGAGCTGCGTTTCTTCCGACTAAAGTGTTGGCTCTGCGGGAACACTTCTCCGAACTCGTTGACCCGCACCGGGGTCACCACTTCGTAAGACGCCAGGGTCTTCACCAGGGCCTCTGCAACCGACATGGACGGCGCCCTGGAACCACCACCGTGCGCGCGCGCCCGGCGCCCCCGCGGCCCCCCCCCCAGGGCTCGACCCACCCCATATCCCGCCCTGGGAGGTCTAGGTCCCCACTCACCCCGAGAGAACGGACAGATGCACTGTTGGTGGTGCGCATGCACACACACACACACAACACACACGCGCACGGTGCACCATCTACATTCCCCAGCCCACCCCGCCCCCCTTGGTTTGCTCCCCACCTCTCCAAGCCAAGATCCTGCCACCCCTAGAACCCCCAGCAGCCCGTCATCCCAGGTCCCCCGGGCTTCCCGGTTGCCTCTCCGACTCTCTTTTTGCCCACCCTGTGCATGCACACCCCTGCTGTGTGGTTTCCACTCCCCCCTTCCCCCGGGAGGGGAGGGGAGTCAAATGCGTTCTCACCCCCCCACACACACACACCCCACCCCGCGGCGCGCGCGATTCCTCGAAATCCACAAGCAATCAAAAGATCTCCAGGATGCACAAGCTGATTGGCTGTGGGGCTGTGCTGGGATTCCCTGCGGGGTTACGTTCCCCCCCCCTCCTCCGCCCCCACACGGGGAGGGAGGGGGAGAGGGGAGGGAGGGAGGGGGAGAGAGAGAGAGCGCGCGCCTCTGCTCCCGCTCCTCCTGCCAAAACCATCTGGTGGGCTGGGTTCGGGCGCCCCGAGGGTGACCTTACCTTGTCTGGGGTGGAAATGAACTTCCCAAGACCTGGTGATGACGAGCGAGAGCTGGTACAGCAGCCCCGTTATCCACTTGGCCACACGCATGGTTCCACCCGAGGGATCCCCCGATCTGGGAGGCCAATCACCCCACCACCAACAAAACACACACACACACACACACACACACACACACACACACACACCCAGCCAATGGCCACCCAAGCTGGCTTGGCCGCACGCGCCCCCGCCGCGCTCCCCGCGCCCGGCTCCGCGCGCCTCAGCAACCCCGGGAGCTGCAACCCGGGCCCCTGGTCGGCCAGTCTCCCCACAGCACCAGCCTCTGCTCCCTGAGCCGCTGCTGCTTCATCGCATTGCAGCCCGGCAACCTCCTCCGGCTGGCTCTCAGCAAGCCCGATCGCTCCCCTGCCCGCGCCCGCCCGCCCCGCCCGTGGAATCCTTCTCCCCGAAAGTCCACAGGCGCAGCGCGGGGAAGCCGCGCTCCACCTAGCAGGCACCGTGCCAATATAGTCTTCAGCCGCCGGGCCAGCGCCAGCCAGAGCCCGCCTCCCCCCGGGCCACAGCCAATCAGCGGGAGGCGCGGCTTGGACACGCCCCTCCCTTTGCCTGGACACGCCTCTCCCTCCATAACCCCGCCCCCACTCTAGCATCCCTCCTTTGGGGCTGGGATTCTGTTTGCTCTTTGCAGTGTGGGGTGTAGCCCAGAAGCACACCCACTTCCCCCCCCTCCCCCTCCACCCGAGGCTCAAAATTTCAGAGAGGTTGATAGGTGTGACACATGTCTCGCTCTTCCAATGAAATGGCAAAGCAGGGCATATGGCAAATTTTCTGACCCAGATGGTGGTGGCGGCTAGCTACTCAAGAGGCTGAGATCTGAAGATCTTGATTGGAAGTCAACCTGGGCAGAAAAGTCCGTGAGACTCTTATCTCCAATTAACCAGAAATGGTGGTGTGGTTCAATTGATGGAACACCAACCTTGAGTAAAAAAGCCAAGGAAATATACAAGGCCCTGATTTCAAGCCTCAGTACAGACAGACACACACACAGAGAGAGAAATTAAAATAGCATAAATGAACTGGAGATGTGGTTCCAATGGTAGAGGATTACCTAACAAGCTTGAGGCTCTGAGTGTAATCACAGGAAGGAAAGAGAGAGAGAGAGAGAGAGAGAGAGGAAGACAGAAAGGAAGGACGGAAGGAAGGAAGGAAGAAAGGAAGGAAGGAAGGACGGAAGGAAGGAAGAAAGGAAGGAAGGAAGGAAGGAACGTTACCTTTCCCCTTTGAGCTGTCAGTGATGCAAAATCTCCTGTCTTTGGTTTGGCCACTGATGACATGACCTTTCACCTTTACATCTTATGTCTGGTCTAGCTGGTTTTTCACAGATGTGGAAGGGAAGTGATGGTAATTGGCGATGGTAATTGCCTGGGTGGCTCAAGCCTGCAATCCTAGCAACTTTGTTCCAGCAACCCTTTCTCAAAGAAGTGCTGGACTCAAGGATCAGCATATGACTCTAGGTACCAGGAACCCTAACACACATAGATCATGCCCGCCAGGCAGGAAGTGAGACCTTATCTTCAAAACAGAGCAGAAAACTAGAGCAGGAGGCAAGGCTCAAGGGTAAGAATGTCTGTTTAGCAGGAACTTGAATGCTAATTCAAAGCCTACTCAAATGGACTTAACCTACATATGTGTAGCTTTTTTGTTTTTGTTTTGCTTTGTTTTTGCTTTGGTGGGGTTTCAACTACAGGGCCTGGGCGCTGTCCCTGAGCTCTTTTGCTCAAGGCTGGTGTTCTACCACTTTGAGCCACAGCTCTACTTCCCGTTTACTGATGGTTAATTGGAGATAAGAGTCGGGGGCTTTTCTGCCTGTGCTGGCTTGGGAATGGCCATTCTCAAATCTCAGCCTTTTGAGTTGCTAGGATTACAGGCTTGAGCCATGGGTGCCTGGCTTCTATGTGTATTTAATAGTAAACTTCATTGTATGATAATTTCATCATTTAATTACACAGCAGCTCAGAGTGCATCTGGATATTGGAGTCACTGAGTGAGCTCCTCCTTCTACAAGTAATAGGATAAAGTGTTGCATTTGTGAGATCGAGAGGCTGACTACAGGCAAAATATCTATTTCATTTCCATCATGAAAGGTTTGTCTTTCAAAGCAATATTTGTGATGGATGTTTGATTTTCAATCTAACTTTTTTGAAATAGTGTGTAAAGAACAAGAAGTTGGGCCAGGTACCAGTGGTTCGCACCTATAATTCTAGCTACTCAGGAGGTTGAGATCCAAGGATTATGGTACAAAGCCAGCCCAGGCTGAAAAGTACATGAGGCTTTTATCTCTAAGTAATCAGCAAAAAGCCAGAATGTAGATGTGTCTCAAGTGGTAGACTGCCAGCTTTGAGTGAAAAAGCCAACAAACAGCACCCAGGCTGCATATAAATCCTAGTGCCAGAACACACACACACACACACACACACACACACAATTACAGGAAGATATGTGCAGTTCACTATAATCTATGGAATGTTTAGTAGAGAGTAATAGGCCCCTTGTTTTATAGAAGACATTCATTACATCCTCATACAATATCTAAGTAACTAAGCTGAAATTCTGCCAATCTTTTCCTAAACTCCAATACCTATTCATATTAGGCTGCCACTATGATGCTCCTATTATTGACTCTTTTTTTTTTCTCTTTTCCTATTAATGAAATGGCACACATAAGCTACTTTCTGGCTATTTAAATCAAACTATTTCTTCACGTCGATTGTTAAAGCTACCCCTAATATACTATCCCACTGGTACACCAGGCATTGTATACAAGACTTCAGAAAAGTTATTGAATTTATTCATTCTCCCTAAGACTCTCACAGAATTTCATAATAAATTCTGGATCACCTATCCAGTTAGGGTCACATTTCTCCAGTTTCAAATTACATAGTTTTTAGGAGAAAATTGAACTCTTCATACCAGCTCTGATCTGATGCACATCATGGCCAGCAACAACTCAGAAAATGAAAGCCATATTTGTATAAGTACTTATTTGACTTGCGATTCAGAGTATGATCTTTGGAAATACAATCTTTGGAACTAGCTAGACATGGAGTGGAGAAAACAATTTCAACCTTGTGAAGCAGGGATTATATAGAACCTTTTCTACTATCTGACCAATTATGAAAACTTGAACAACTTATCTCATGTAAGATTTTTTCCCCCTCTCAGTTGTAGAATGAAGAGAATAAGAGCAATTCATGAAGACTTTAAATAGAGAAAAAGAACTACATCAAGTAATATATTTAACATAATATTGGACAAAGGCCTTTTCAATGTCTGTTCATCTTTTAGGGCTGGATGATTTTTAGTTATTCTTTCCTATACATTGCAAGATACATTATTACCAACCTTCCCCCTCCAGCTACCAGTAGTTTACACACCCTCTTCTTACAACCAAATACATTTACAGACCTTGCCAAATATTCCCCGAGGGTAAAACTGACCCCAGTTGGGACCACTGTTATAGTGCTGGAAGGGATTTGGGAAATGATGGCTGGAAATGGGGTCTGGCAGGATACAGCATAAATACCACTCTTAATAACAAATGGTCAATTACTTAGCAGAAATTCCTTATCTATTAAGCAGATGTAAAATATATTCTAGCAGATGTGAAAATGACCTGTCCAAATAGTTAAAGCAGAGTAAATTGGAATCATTTTGTAGATAATTTAAAGCATTGTTATTTCCACTATACAGAGAATCAAATCTTTCTGCCTTGCCACATAGTACAATTATTCTAATTGTCCAATTCCTTATCTGCATTCAACCCTAGATTCAAGTCACATGAGGAGTAACCACAAAAAGATATTTGAAGTACTTTGCAGCAATATTCCCCGGTACCAAATAAATGCCCTTATAGGGTAGAAATTAATAAAATGTTCATTGACTGCGTTAATGGTAATATTAAAATATGTGTAACCTCAAAATAATAAATACTAATTTTATTATCTCCGTCTTTTAACTAGAATATTTATTCCATTCACATTTAATTGTTAGACTTGGTTACAGTTTGTCATCTCCATACTTGTTTTCTGTTTACACTACTAATCTTTGTTTCTTTTTTGCTTCTTTCTTATATTAAATGAATATTCTTATAATTCTATTTAATCTCCCTTGTCACTCATTCTTTAGAATGACTGCATTCTTTAGAATATTTCACCTTTCCCTGGAAATTACTTGTGTGTGTGTGTGTGTGTGTGTGTGTGTGTGTGTGACTGTGTCTATATCAGTGTGTGTCTATGTCTTTGTATGTATGAGTGTGTTTGTGTGTGTGTTTGTGTCCTGGGGTTTGAACTCAGCCTGTATGCTGTCTCTGCTATTGTGTTTAAGCAGAGCATTCTATCACTTGAGCTCCACTTCCAGCTTTTGGGTGGTTAATGATCTTCAGATCTCAGCCTCTTAATAGCTAGGATTACAGGTGTGAGCCACAAGCACCCAGTTTGGAAATGCTTCTTATAAAGAAAATTTTTAAAAGAAGAGTGATACCTCTTAGCTCAGGTAACAATTATAATTAAGAGATAGAGAGAGAGAAAGGGAGGGGAGAAGAGAGAAGGAGAAGCCAGGTCCTAGCTACTCAGGAGGCTGAGATCTGAGGATTTAGGTTCAAAGCCAGTCCAGGCAGGAAAGTTCATGAGATTCTTATCTCCAATTACTCAACAAACATCCATTAGGTGGAGATGTGGCTCAAGTAGTCGAGTACCCGCCTTAAGTAAGAAAGCTAAGGGACAGGGCCTAGTCCCCCGAGTTCCAGCCTGTCAACTGTTTTATAAGTTAATATTCTTTTTCTAAACAATCTCAAAATTGTTTCTGTCTAGAAAAATAAAATAAATTGTTATGGCTGGCTTCTGAAAACTGGTCTTTAGGACAAACGTTTGTAAAACTCGATTCCTTATAGTGATATAAGGTCCATAGTAATAAAATGTTCTTCCTAGACAAAAGTATTTTTTTTACTCTTTTAGTAGTTGTACAATATGGGAGTTTATGAGCATAATAAATTTCTTCATTATTATCTTAAAGTTGTTATACAAGAGGTT